AACGTTAGGAAACAAAACTTCCAGGACATGGCCACACAGCCCAGAAGACCCACACCAGCCATCGTATGCCAGCTGTGAAAGCCTTCGACAATACATAAGTCCCTTTGTTCAGTCCCGCCATAACTCTGAACGGTCACTGAACGAATGGTCATTAAGCAAGGACTACTTGTAGCAGCATGGCTAAAATACTAGTGTGTGATTATTGGTAGAGCCTTATGTAACATCTGACTAGTTCCCTGAAAATAGAAAAAAACTGAACCAAAGGAAACATGGAAGGGAATTTTGAAAAACAAGCCTGAGGGTTATTTTTGTTTTGTGAGTCCTTATTTATATGCTAGCAGTATCTCTTGAATTATGCTAATTATCTGTTCTATTTTTAAAAAATATTTATAATCTGCCTTCTAGCTAAATAGACTATTAAAGAAACTCAGTCTCAACATACATAGAATGACCAACTGCAAAAGTGTAATCTTTCTCTAATATAAACACAGATATGTAATTATGTAACAGGTTAAAAAAGACCCTCACAAAACCAACTACCAATCTACAGAAAGAAAATGGAGGCTGGAGTGAAGGAACAGATCTCTCTTGCTCTCAAAAGGAATCTTCTGAAGCACAAAACGAACCTTTTAATGTAGTGCATTCACTTTTATACACTTTTCTCCTTACATAAAACTAAAATGTGAATGAGAAAAGCTAGTAGGAATTTGCCAATGCTGTTTGATAATTGGTTGATCCTAAGTACGAGGGAGATGTAAACACAAAGTTAAGGAACATCCTATCTTGTACAAGTAGTTATTGGGGCTAAGCTTTATGGTCGACACTTCAGTGGTTTGAGCCCAAGCTCTGTGCGATGGGGTGAGCTCCCGTCTTGCGCCCTTAGCTCCTACCCACCTAGCAGCTCAAAAGCATAAGTGAGTAGATAAATAGGTACTCTCACCCTGGTGGGAGGAAAAATGCTGGCGGCGCCTTGCACGGGAAAACGGGAATTGGTTGCTGGACGCAATGCAATGGAAGAGACTCAATTTCCTGCAACCGCCAGCTGGGCTCCGCCCTAGGAAGGAGGCAATGGCAAACCACTTCCAAAAAAACCTTGCCAGGAAAACTGCAGGGACTCGTCCAGGCAGTCTCCGTAGAATCTGTAACGATTGAAAGCAGATTAAAAAAAAAAGTTGTTTTATTACTCTCTTCATGTAATACGTCCAATGTTTTTTATCAGAAGACAAATGGTCTAGAATGCTTTATTTCTTTCTCTTTCTTCTGTATATTTAATTAAATATTTATCAGGGAAGGAGGAGACAAGTAAACTAAGTTAATATCTCCTCTTTGAGGAAAGTAGAAACTAAGACACATACAGCAATAACAGAACTGGAATACAGTAGATTACAAATGTGTCTCTGATAAACACAAGACCAAAAAAAAAAGGTAGCTAGAAATAGTATCAATGGATAGAGGTAAAAAAAGGCAAGACGCAGGATGCAGTGTGGCAATGAAAGTCCTGTCCCTTTTGTACACACACCAGTGTCATACAGATGCACAAGAGGGGCAAGACTGATTGTGATGCCATGTCCGCCATCTTGTCTTTTCTAACACCCCCTCCCCTTGTGAATGGCACTGGACAGTACACCAAATACTTGGCCTAAAAACATGTTAAGACCAACATCATGATAAAAGAATTGAAGAGAGACTGAAAGTTACTTTGAGATATATCTGTATTATGTGAGATATTGGATAATATGGCAGTTGCTGAACAAGAATAAAGAAGCATATGGAACATTACAAACACAGGGATTCTGAGCAATATCGCTGACAATGAAATTGTTATTCAAATATTTCAGAGTTGTATCCTGATTTTGCAAGTTGCTATCAATGAAGCTGCTCTGAGGTGGCTTCCCTCATCATAACCCTACATTCCACATCTAAGATCCTTCCTAAGAAATTTGGGACTCCTCTGAGAATGGCTTCTGGGGTTGTACAAAGTATAAAGAATTCCCTTTATGTTTCTATGTCAAACTCTTGAAGAAACCTTACAACAGCCTATGCCAATCACTATGACTTACAGCAACCAAGAAGGTACCTACCTTGTATAAAAATATATTTGCCTGGTCCCAATTCTT